TCGCCCAAATTGGGACTCCTCAGCTCGATGTGCCTGCGTCTAAGAGTTGATGTTCACTCGAAAACTTGAATCCAGTATCGTTCACTTCAAGCACAATCGTGTTACCCAATTAACTGCTAAGACCAAACATTCACTGGCTTGTGTAATGGGGTAAAGCTTAATTCATCTGCATTGGTTGTATAAATCTTCCCATTTTGATAGCCGACCACCATTCGTCTCTGCAAATAATAATTTCGACCTGACTGTGATATTAAGGTAATTCGCGCACGATGGAAATAAACCAAAGTAACCGATCAATTGCAGTCCTAAACAAATTCGAATCACCAATACACATAAATTAGAAATTTATGATAATTTTATCATTATTCACTCTACTCAATGCTAGATTTATTTAAAACTATCAAGTTTAATCTTGGTATTGGTACCAACAAATGAATTAGAGTTAATCAGTGTTCTTATTTTTTGAACGCAATATTTGGATACAAAAATACTAGGTGTTTAAATATATATATATGGTAAGAGAGAGAGAGATCACTACTATGTTATATCATGGAAATATCAGGATATTGCGCAAGAAACCTAGTGTGTGTCAACCGTATACTAAATAGCCAATCAGTGTGAAAATGAAACAGTGAAATCAAAGCAGTGACATGATTTTAGCTTTATACAAAGTATATTTCTTTCTATAAATATTATGCTGGTTGCGTAATGTATACACACGAAAAACATTTAACTACTGCATTTCGACGAAACTATATTTCTAGCAATAAATACAAACGATTATGCATATATCTATATTTATGATAAAAAGTTAAGAAGGAAAATCAGTTTATTATTTTAATTTATTTAAAAAGTTGACAGCTTATTTAACAAAGATTTCATTTTATTACAAACAAGAGTGTTTTTTCTCTTAAAATATCTTATTATGAATTATGAATTGAGCAATGAAATGAGGAACTGAAGGAATACAATAAAGTGTTTGAAAAAAAAATAACTTAAAAAGGAAGTAAAAGTAGCACCAGAAAGTGATAAATATAAATGTTACCCTTTCTTTTTTGGTCATGAAAATATCAATGTTCAACAATTTGAACACTTGTTTATGGTAAACTAGTGATAACTAAACACAGTCTTTGTAGAAATAAGCATTCAATATTTTTTTCACTGCAAAAGATATAACGAAATCATTGTAAAAAAATAAACATCTTATGTTAACTAGACATAAGTGCATCTTATTGTGTTTATTCATAAGAAGACCACCATGGGTTTATTAATCTTATTTTTGGATTACATATCGATGTTATGAAATAACACCTTACCATAAATAGATTTCTTTCGGATTTCCAATTGAAATCTCAGATATTTGTAGAGGATTATTGATTTTCTAGAGTTTTTGGATTTACATAAACTTAAGGTAATTAGTTATTGTTTTAATGCATGTAAATGTTTTTCAAAGTATTTCAAAGAACATTTTCATTGTTAATAAGTGATCGATCTAAAACAGAACTGAACTCATAACTATTTCAATCGAAGTAGGAATATCTAATTACATATAGTCTCATCGAGAACTGAACAAAAGATATAATTCTTGTAGTAATGACTTTTAAATAATAAACATATTCATATTCAGGTTTCACTTATTTTTCGTGTTCAGCATAGTTTTGCCATGATCATTTTTCTATTGAAATAAAAATATATCATTAATACTGATCATTGATTGTTATTTTCTTTAGTCCAGCAATCTGCTGATCCGTTGGCAAAACAACTTCAGCAACAACCTACCGTGGGAGAGAACAAACCAGATTCCAACTGGGTAATAATTTAGAGGAAAACGCTGGAGGTGGAGAAGACACACTGCAGAAATCACTCAACTACATTTCGAATCAAGCAAAAGCCGAAGGAAAAGAGGAATACCAAAGAACAAATTACGCCAGGCATTGGAAGGAGACAGCTAAAGAATTGACAACACTTGCTTAGAACTCGAAATGAAGTGTCTGAACGGTGTAGGTTGAGGAATGCTTGTTGGCGGCCCATGCTTCATTAGGGATAACAGGTGTAACTATCTAATTACTCTAGCAATATAAATGAGGATGATTTAATAAATAGACATTAGATGATGAAGAAAACCAATACACGAAAATTCCGAATCTACAATACTGAAACTAGCTAGATATTTTCTGATTGTTTATCATTTTTCATCAGTTTATAACAAGTGTCTATGCAGTCATCAGACTTGCTTAACATTGAAGTTTTATATTTTAGTTAATAAATCAAAAGATATGACGTAATTTTTGAGTGAATTAATGTAGTTAGAGTAAGAAATAATATGAATGAACTTTAAATCAATGATGTGTACTGTCGTTTGCATATATTTCTTTTATTAATTGTAATGTATCTTACTGAAAATATAGCTTTTGACGATGGTACATGTATAAATTGATATACAGTTGCTCATTGCACATCTTCAAATTAAATAAAATGTAAACAATTGACTTAAGAAAAGTTTGAGATTGGTGTAGAAATTGATGGAACGTAAAACAGCTGTATGTTAATGGATTGGTGTATTATTAGTTAATTTTATTATCTAATACTTTTACATTTCTTAAGAAAAGTAGGTAAGCTTAACTAATTTGGTTTACTGTCTAATTGATGAAAAGGATAATTTTGTTTTAAATAGTTCGCCAGGAAGTTCAGCGAAGATTAAAAAATTCCTTTATTTAATCCTTTATAAAATAGAACACTTAAATAGTTTGAAAAAGGAGATACGCCATATCTCAGTTTCATTTATGTTTTGTTAATTTCAAAATAGATGTGATCGAAATGCATTTTATTAAGTAATGAATCAATAGAAATCTCGAGAGACAATTATGAATTGTTCACATTAGTTAAATACTTACTGTATTCCATAAATTCATGGTCATATTTAAATGCTTAAATCACCTTTGTCTTATCTTATCTCAGTCTTCTGTAAACAGGTGGATAATTTGACACTCTTATTTCACTTTTCTGTCTTTAGTTTTGCTTTTGTTCAAAATAGATAGTTCTCGATTATATATATTTAATTTAATTTTCTAGTTAAGTTTTAACTTGCATCACTAAACATTCTGTCAGTGACAGAATTCAAATAAAACGATACCATGATCAACGGTCAATGTAGCAAGTATATAATAGTTGTGAACCATCAGTTTTTATATACAACTACTTAGGAAAGTCTAAGAATTGTATTCCGAACAAACTGTTTTCCTTCCTTCAGTAAATTTAGTTTTAACAATCAACCTTTGAAAAGAAGCGACGTTCTCTGTATTTTTTTTTTTAAAATATAATCATGATGCTTATAGAATTGTTTTAATTTATTTAGCCTTGTGCTTACATTATGGACACCTGAAATAATCGATAACAAGAGAGAAAAGTCTCTTCACAAACTTAGGAAGAGCCTATACATTTGACTGATTAAAAATTCAACATAAACCAAGATTATAAAATGATGGAGAAACCGACAAATGACCAGTATTATTTTTATTGCGCTATTGTGGTTTTGTTTTTAACGAAACTTTTCATTTTTATGAGATAATTGACTCAAAGTATGATAAAATTTGTGTATATATATAATTATTATTATTAATATATGTCTAATTGTATATATATGTATGCATTCAAGTTTATGATGTAATCTCGTTTGATTGTGTCACCAGTGTAAATACATCTAGAGGTGAATAGATTAGGAAAGAATCACAGTTTGAAGATCATAGAGATTATGGAACAAACAAGAACAACATAAATACGGTAAAACATCAAACAAATTACTGTTTCTTTAGTTAGTTATCTTTGCTTTTCTGATATTGAGAGGAGAGAGAGAGGTTACAGGCTAACTTTATTGATCTAAGAACTAATAATTTGTGTTCCGTCTATTGTTATTTTATTATTGACGTTAATGAAAAAAGTATATTTTACAAAAGAAACCCAATATATGAGGAAAAAAAATGTCGGTGACGAAATAAACTGTACATATGTCTGTGTGTACATTTTGCTGTAAATATCATGAGAAAGTTATAAAAAGTGATTCTAGACAAAGTAACAGCAGAACAGTCACAAAACTAAGAATCTTATAATCTTGTTTCACTGACCTCTGTTTAGTTTTAACTTGGTATCTCTTACATTCTATCTCTTACTGTCTCTCTCTCTCTACCTTGCTTTCAATCTTTACTAGTTTATAAATTGATTACATTTATTACAAGGTTAAAAATAAAGAAGAAATGTGTCAATTAAAAATTATAATTATATGTGCAAGTTGTATGTTATATATATATATATATATATAGTACACCTAATTGAAAACTAGTTTGACATATGAATTTGTTAATTAATATTTCAATGTGCATTATAATAGTTTTGTGTTGACTAAAAACTACGGAATGTGTTGTTATGATAAGAATAGTATACATTTTCACTGATTAGATGAATAGTGTGATATTCACAGTGTTTACTCTAAGAAATGTTAAAAATAATATAAATACAAAGTTTGAATGTTTAGTTGAATAGTTTAAGGCGCTTGCATTGCTTGTCAATATTTCTTCACTTCTAAATTCCTGAATGCTTTTTTTTCATTTATGGATTATAAAAACAGAAAAATTCGGAGGAAAGGAAATAAATGTTTTGTGTACGTTGATAAATTGTCTTATTACATGATATTTCAATTATAACAGTTTATTAGTGTGAATTGATTTTTTTGTTTGTTACATAATGAATTGTCAAGAGGAAAAATGTGTAAATTTTTATGAATAAATAAGATTTTAAATCTGATTAGCACAATGGTTAAAGGAAAACGAATAACAAAAATAAATCATTGTAGAAAATTCAAATTAAATACTCTCTATCTTATCTGTGCAGATTCAAATTTGATTAATTTCGAAATAGGATCTCAATGCAATGGGATTTTACACGTTACGATAATGAAATCGGGTACTTTTCCCGAACTTTGTTTGAATGCAGTCAGTAGACTAGTTTTACATTTGATTAATAGAATGATGACTATTTGAATTAGTTCTACCTTTTTTAAGTGTTGAAAATTTTGTTTTTGATTGTGTTGTGTGATCATTCATACCCGGCGAAGTGAATTGATAATAATTAGATGTATTGATGGATAGTGCTGGATGATGTGATTTTCTACGAGCTGCAGGTGCACATATAACATTGATTGGCTTAGACATTTCATCTACTATTTTATGACATTCATCTCCGTTTTCCAAATGACAGATACATTTGCATGTTGATGGTTGATGACCTAAAAAGAGCCAAATTATAAAACAAAATAAACACGAGTAATATATTGAACATTTATTTTATATAGAATTTGTGAATTATTCAATTTGTATACGAGAATGCAACAAAACGGCAGTTATATATGATTCAATATTTCTGTTTTCTAGATGAGAAATACAACGTTACCTTCATTCAGAGTTTCGTTCTTATTCGATTCAACGGTAACACGATAAACCAATTAAACAAGTTACGTGGATTAATTCAACACACCTCACATATACTGATTAGTGAACAGTTCCTAAGTCAACTAAAGCTTAGTTTAATATACGTTTATTATTGATTTCAAATTCTAATTTATTTAATTATAAGACAGTTTCATAGTTGTATCATAATCAATAGGGGGACTGACAACTGTACTCTAAGTAAAGTATTATATAAATTCATTTAATTCAGATCTGAATTAAAAATAACAGATTAATTATGTCACAATTATCACTACCTCACTGAAATAGGATGATTTAATTTTAAAGTATGGACATGCTAAATATAATCAGTATACAGAAAGTAAATGTTAGGAACTTTCAACAACACGTCTAAACTTTTTATATATTATACCATTCTATTAGAAAATTTTAGCATTTAAGTCTCAAGAAATTACAACGGGTTATCGAAATAAAACCCTTAGTATTGATTTGAGCAACATTAATAAGAGTTAGTCGTATTAATTGACTAATATTTTATGTTCATGAAAGCTAGGGATTGACAGATCATTAAACAATGATCAAACTCAAACAATTAGGTTTTAATGTGATAAACAGTATGTGTCACAATATCGCGTGCACTGTGTTGAGATGTTCGTTAGTTGGAGGTTGTCGATGAGAGACTCTGTTCAGCCCAGGTTCCGTGATGTTACTCACTCGATCTGAATAGCTGATTGCTTATGTTTCAGGATGACACAAATTTGAACCACTTGGGAAATATTTGTTCTTTCTAGATTATAAGAACACCTTGCTGACGAGTACCAACTGGAACAAATCCTAACCCAAGCGGAAATTCCTGACAACTAATTTCGATCACCTAAAATTTAAGTTTAATAAATTACAGTTATTTAATAGCTGCTAGAAAATATTCTAGAATTTTTGTCTAGAATTTCAGTCTACTTACCGGGAGATGCAGCACATCGCAGTAAGTGATATACAGGATCACCAAATTCTACTGAAATAAATAAATAAAGCTCATAATTATTTAACAATACAGTAATATAATTGAATAAGCTAATTGATAAAATATTTTTTTTTAAATGAATACCATTTACTGTTAATAAACTCTAACGAGGACTACTGTTGCGAGGAATTTCACCGGTGAATACTAGCTAACACTCATGTAGTCACTTCTAATAATAATTTATACGATATTTCTTATGTAAAACTGTATTGAATGTTTCATTCTTTTGCGAAATATTGTCTGCGAAAATTATTGTTCAGTGACTAAATCTAGATATGCAGAGGTATTCAAACAGAAATACTTGATAAATCATGTCCGTTTTGTGAAATATGAAGTGAAACAGAGTTAGAACAACGAGTAATTTGACATATAATCATCGAATTTCGGGCACAAAGTAAGAGATGGCAAATAACAAGTTTCAGAATCCGTAACCATTCATCATTATAATATGTAGTTGAGATTTTTGTTTGAACACTGGAACAAGATGATTGTTTAATGCGTTGTAGATTTCACTAGTTTTTTTTAAATTGATTTTAGTTCATGATGAATGTTATGTTTGACTATCTAAATTTCTTCTTAAAATATACCCCAATAAATATTAATGCATATTGAATAATACGGCAAAACATTCATCAAAATATATGAACTTACTGCATTCATCTGATGATTTCATGTGTTTTTTGAACAGTAAATCTTTCTGTTAAGATTTGAAAAAAAGTAATTATAAAACAAAATTTTAATTTATAATTTTATTTTTTTACATATGATAAAGAATAATGTGAAAGTTTCATGTATCAGCCGCAATGGTTAGGTAGCGTACTGACTTGTATGTAAGTAAGATCGAACATATATATATATATATATATATATATATATATATATATATATATATATATATATATATATATATATAGTCATTGTAGTTGAAAATTACTGCATCAAGTCATGACAATGCAGACATATAATCGTAACAACTTTTTTTATTATCAACTTTTGTTTAAACTCTATCTAATGTATTTCAGTAAGCAAGATAAAATGACCTTATAAATGCTCAGTTTTTCCTAGAGTTATTTGTTTCGTTAACTGCTGATATCAAAATTAAAAAAAATATTTTATTATTGAAGATAAGTGGCATTACGAAATCAAATAGAACAAACGTATGAGTTTTATTCTGTTAAACATTCTGATCTAACTAAGTGATTACTATTTCGCTTTCAGTGATAAATACATATATAATATTAGGAAATAACTGTTTATTGCTTAAGTTATTACTTTTTTCAATATATTTAATGTATACAAGTTAATTTGCATGTGTATTTTCTCTTTTATGTTACAGGATATTTTTTTCCTTTGAAATAGTTGTTCAGTACTGCTTTCATTAAAATTTTATTGTTGGTTTAAGTAAATTTATCTCTTCAGTTTTTCATTCGTTACTAGATTTCTCTGAACTGAAAATAATGCCGTTATTTTTTTCTGTTAAATCTTTTTCAATATAATTAAAAAAATAGTGAATGAAGAGAAAATTCATTTAGTTAAGTTGTGAAATTTTTACCATTATCTAGCATAATAAATATGAACAATCACTCGAGAAAAAACAATCATTTCGATAGTATTTAAAATGAAAATAGTACAGTTTATAGTCAAATAAGTTGTTTACTTGTTTTTTCATCCATCAACATGATAATTTTATTTTGTTCAAATATTTTACGAATTATTTTTAATGACGAAACGGGATAAATGTGCTAATGATTGAATAAGTAAGTAAGTAAGTAATATCAAATGTGTCAAATATTGTACTAATAAGGTGTATATGTATTTCTAATAATCAGTATGACAGAAATACACTTGGTATATATATATATATATATATATATATATATATATATATATATATATATATATATATTTAGTAACCCACAAAGCTCATTTCGTGTGATGTTGTTCAGTGGACTAAAATGACAGAAATTCATAAACTGCCTACAGATCTTAATGTAAACTTTGTAGTTACACCAGAATAAATGAACTAGAACATGGAAAATGATGATAGTGACACGAAACTATTAACATTTATTATAGTGAATGTGTATGTACACTTATTTTTTTGTGGAGAAAATGTTTTATCTTGATAAAATTTACACTATTTACATACTAACTTATTCGTTTGATTAACAGATGTTTTTCGTAGAATTGAATGTGGTTAGAGGGAAGGCAGCACTTAGAAAGAAATGCTGATTTTAAATCTTTACATGCATGTATTTCATTATTTTGTTTAGTTAAAAAACAAGAAATAATCCACTTTTCCGTTCACATTTTATCCCACATGAATAAGTATTATTCTCATCTAGTAATAAAAAATCTGAACACAAATCAAGTATATTTTTGATTTAGTACGTGGTCGAATGAAAATTAAAAATGTATGCTGAATTTATTTTAGTAAAATATACTATAGTAAAGTCATCTTTTTGGCATTTCAACTAACAATGTTATACTATTGGCGTCAAATCGATCAAATACTGTGGCAAAGGAAATTATTGATTTTATGACACTTTCTAAAAAGCTACAAATATCTCAGTTAATTGTCTGGGTGCATATTGTGTATATGTTGATACAAGGATTTAAAATATAAACCTTCCATATTTAGTTATCGCTTTAGTTCTACATGGAAATAACATTAAAATTGCACAAACATGTGTAATTTTGAACATTTAGTCTATGATCACCTACATAATTTTTACCAAAACTTAGTTTTATGGGTTTACATATTTGAACTATGTATTTCTGGTCGTAAACGCAATCATGTAAACCAGTCAGTCTTAGAATACGAGTTATGATGAGTTTATAGTGAAAACAGATTAATTTATGGTCAGGGAAAATGTGCACCAACAAGGTTTGCTGAAAGTTTAGTTGGAATAGGAAAATTAATGGTTAGCAAATGAAAATAAATCATGGTAACACTGTTGACTAAGGCAATATACCACTACATAAAGTAAAAAGATTTTATTGAATTCAAGTTCGGCTATAAACGATCTATTCAGTGCATATTCAAAATGAACTATAACACAGAAAGTTGTTAATGATTGTCAGTGTGAAAGGGATAAATTCATTTAACAGAGGAATAATGGTAGAAGTGTCACATTTTTGTTTAGTTTAAATTGATGTCGTTTCTGACGATACACTTCTCACAGACTATTCATCTGCTCCTACATATAGCGGTTTTATAGTAATTTTATACATCTGTACTCTTTGATACGCTTAAATAATGCAAAAGCTATATGAATTTTAGTCTAAAAAACACTGAATTCATTTTGAATCATTACAGTTACAAAGAATGAGAACATCTGAAATGTTTATCATTTTTTAGTTAATAAGCTTCTAATCATTCATATCAGCTCCACTAACTAAAGTATCCAACTTTAATTGCTAAACGTAATATTCTTTATGGATAAAGTCTGCTTAGATATATTAAAAAACTTTGAAAATGATTAACCTCACTTTTTTCCTGAGAATAGTAATTATTGTTACTTTATTCAGGTATTACAAAAGTATAGAGTAACTTATATGTAACTTATATGCTATTAGTGATAGTTTCAGTTTGTTATGTGAATTAGGCTTATAATCATATTCATTAGGTGATAAAATCTATTTCGGTGTTTAAAAAAAATGATATTGACGATAACCTGAACAATTAATCTTCACAAGAATATATGAAACATTGGTTTAAAGTTAATTATGTTATAATATACAATCATCACTACAAATCTAATTTTAAAAACGATAGGTCAACAAAATCTCAAATGTTCATTATAACTGACTGTGAACTTTTGGTTTTTAAGATTAAGTTATTTGTTTTAATAATTTATTGAAAGGATAAAATATGAAAACTTTTTTTAATAACGTGATATATAAGAAACAAGACTGTCTTCTTGTGGGACTTGTTTAGTTTTACTTTCTGAATCCCTCTATCCATGGGATTTCATATGTATCAACCATTCATCCTCGTTGCAACTATTCGGAATTCAATGTTCAATTTCGTAGAAACTTTCTTCTGTTGAAACAATATAGGATGAATTAATCGGTTTTGACGTTTAAAGTAGGAACTATAGAACTTTTAAAGTGTTGGACAGTGTTGAAGGTAATAATTTGTTAAAGTGATATTAGATTTATAATTGAAAAGCGTAGTTTGGCGAGGACAAAATAAATCTGTTTGTTATTCACAGATAAAAATAAATAGTTTGTGCAAATGATGTTTTCAACTCTGAAATTCATACTTATTAGATATAAAAACTTATTTTTCCCTTGCATTGGTTATTTGAATCGACTCATTGATGTTTAGGACTGCGATTGATCAATCTTTTCGGTGTACTTGCATCTTGTGCGGTTAGCCTCAATATTACCCTTCACATTACAGGCATTATTAGCAGAAGTGGAAACTGGTTAGCAGTGGAATTGAGGACGAGCGTTTAGTCCTATTTGAGACTTATCATCTCGATATGCCTGCATCTCGGAGTTGGGTTTTGACTTTCGGACTCGAACCCAGTACTTTTGGCTCCAGATATCAACTCGGACAAAACGTTTGATGGATTCCACTGCTAACGATTATCTACTTCTGCTAATAATAATTTTGCCTTGGGAAAATATTTCCACGCTTACGGCATGAATAAAATTTCAATAACATATACTTACTACAACAACTGTTAGTACTACTACCACTAATACTATTATAGTTTAAATTCTTTCAGTATCCATTTTTATATTTGCTTTTTGCTTTGATCAATTCACATTTCAATAAAATATGTCACATTTTTTCATGCAGTTTATTACAGTGCTGAAGGTATTTTCTATTTTACACGATAAAGGTTAATTATAGGAACAAACTGTACAGTTTGTGCATGCACGCAAAATTTGCATTTGTTTCTTCAGTTGTTAATATAAGAATGGCACATCAAATATAGTGCGAAGAAAAAACGTTTAGACAATGAACAAATCAAGAATCGGTGGTACATGTAATCACTTCATCACCTTTAAATAGAAATCTATGAAACCCAAAACAAATATGTTTGTATATATTTATATTTATGTCGGAGGAAGTAGAATTACAAACAAATCCTCTTGAATATGAATTGCAATAGACTGATGCATGGTGCTAGTATCAGAAGAGTCTATACCTTTATTAGTTGCATTGTTTAGATTAGAATATTTAATGAGCGATATAATGTCATTTGAATCATTTTAAGGATTATATCAGCCAAAATAAATTTTTTAGGATTATAAAATATTGAGGAATTCATCACATGGTAATGTGTCGTCAGATTTACTAGCTGTAAGCTATATAGTTATAAGATAATTCACAAGTTAAGTAGTTTGAAATATTTGAAAATAGCTAGGAATTATTCGACAAGTGATTTTTAACACAGAAATCATAATTAATTGAATAATGACTTGTACCATTATTTTGGATTACGTACATACATCTTGAGTTGGCAACAGTGATACTACTTAAAAGTTCAGTGAATGCTTTTTAATTAAACCTCTAATGACTTTATGATTCAATTATCATAATAATAGTTTCATTCATCTGAAATACTAAATTTAGCTTTTAATTAATTTCTAGAATATGCGGCTAACGACTTATTGGTAAACTATTCCGAAAAGTGCATTCAATAGTTTGTCTGAAACAATATTTTTATTCGTCAGACAAACTGTTTCACAAAACCATATGATATTAGTTAAAATTGATAGTTAATAGTATATTACAATTCTATCGAACATTTCCATTCATTATTTATAATTACTGCAATGTTATTAATTGAAACAGATTACAAACTTAACTTATTAAATATACATGTCTTTGCAAAACTACGTTTTCTGGTTCTGCTGTCAGTGCCGGCTGCACACACTAGAAGAGTATTCATATCATTGTTTCATTTGGTGAGTGGCTTTTTAGTCCATTTTTAAATGAACTAATTTAGTTAAATTTCATTACAGTTGAAAAATATCAGTCAAATCAACTCCAATAAAATTTATTTCGTTTATTAAAACTACCACTGTATACTTGCTGGTCTTACAATCAATGAAGTAGTTTTTATGTTATGCCACAGTAAACAATTGCCATCCTTTTAATGTGATTTATGTTAGTAATTTATGTAATTATCATGAATAGCATTCAGTGGGAAGTTTGATTTATCAAACCTCCATCTTATCTACAGACTTGAAATAATCAAAGTTATTATTTATTTATTTACTTAGTTATTTAATACTGAAAAATATTATTAACAATCAGTCCAAAAGATAAAAGAATCATGTATATAAATGTATAAATAGTAACTCATTAGCTAGATATTTTGTGAATCTTGAGATGGTAATAAAATCTCAAATAACTTATTATCAAAATGAAAATGATCTGGCTTCAAAAAATAGACCACTACATAAATTATTGTTGTAACGATTAACATTATCTCACTGTCTAAATGTCTTCTGTGTGTATAAAACAAAGTTAACTTTCATACTACAAGAGCTTGTAATTGCTTGAATTTTCAAAATAAACTGAATGGAATGTAAGGAAAATTCTACATAGAAAGGTTAGACAAAAATCCTATTACTTATGATTAAGTAAATGTTAACTTGATAGCTACGTAAGAAATTTATCATTACAAACATACATCAGAAACAGCACTTCAACTAATTAGATTTTCTTAGCGAAAATATATCCACAAATTAGTTGGGAAAAATTGTCAAAGTAATATTTACAAATTACATTCAACTACTTCAATATCATTGTGAAACAAGTTGCTTGTTTTGCAACTAACTATCTAATAGCATCCTTAAACAGTTTTCTAAAATAACTTTTCTTTCCTGTGTAGATTTTTTGATAGTGAAGAAAATTCTGTAGAAATATTGATCTGAATTGTAAAATTCACTATTTATGTGATTACTGGTGTACTTGCGTGGTGAATTTTCATTATCAAACGCATCTTCTAAAGTAAATAGACGAATATGCAAAACTGCACCACAAATTTTAAGTTTAATTTCTCAATTTTTTCACAGTTTAAAATACATATAACTCTTACAGACACAACTTTTTGAACTAAGTGATATATGTACTATGTGATATTTGATTGTAGTTAGGTCATAGGAGCAAACACCCAAGACTTAGTGTTTGGACAGATTAACTGAAAAGTGATTTGAAAATGAGATTTATTTTATTTTATATATGACAGTGACTTTCGCAATGAGATGATGTCATCAAGTGGTCAAATAAATATCAGGAAATATTGAATGTGTATTGTGCTTGGCTAACTTTTAGTTTACACAATAAACGCAGTCACTGGGTAGGTGTACATTTGATATCAGTCAATTATATAGGATGGCCATAATCAAATGTGACAAAAACCAGGACTCCACGGTGAAAGAATGCAGTCCTCAGTTTCTAAGTTGAAGGTTTGAACCTTCCATTGTTCATTCTAGCAAAAGCACACTAATTTATACCTTATCTGTAATAGTTAAACACAGAATTAATTCTAGATTGGATTAACTTAACTAGCGATGGTGTTACTTCTGATGATATTAGATTCGCTCCCATCGGCTAATCTAGATTATAACAACCTCATTGTAACTTGATCGAAAGGACCTCATCAGTACTGAAACGAAAATGAGCTTGAAAATATTTGCTACTTAGTAATCAGTCAATGTTAAGCGAATTCAGTACTTATCAAGAATGACCTTAGCACCGTGTAGATTAAGCGTATACAAGACTACCTTCATTTAGTCAACCTCTGACTCCTCAAGGACAAAAGTGGAATTATCAGAAGAAAGAATAATTAAAAATGTCATATAATTATTAAGCGAAAACGGTGTCTTAGAAGCTTTAATTGTATAGGGGTATCAGATATATATACTTATATACGCTTAACTATTCTGAAATTCAAATGGAATATTAGTCGCATAATTTATGTTTGTTAACTGAAAAGCATAATCAACTAGGAAATCTAGTTATTTAGACTATGTAAAATTATATTTTATCAATTCAAAAACTAAAATGCTGATGTTTAATTAATCTGATTGAACAGCACTATTGATAATCAATGGAATCTAATGCAGATATCAAGGTAAAGATTGGCAAAGCAAGCGGACTCAAAACAATTATCAGCCAACACCAAAATCACAATTCTCGATACAAACTTCAAGACAGTTCTACTGCATGGAGCTGAAACTTGGAGAACTACCTAACTTATCATTCAAGAGATACAAGTATTTATGTACTATTGTATGCTCTAGATACTAGAGTACTCTGGTTGGACATTACGAAAAATGACTTACTTTGGTAGAGGAGGAACTAGCTTCCGTCTGAAGAGGAAACTAATAAAAGTCGCTGTGAGTGGATAGGACAAATCACCGAATTATGTAACTGGGTAAAATTTACTAGGAATCTTCAAGATAATAGATGGAGAGAAAAATCAAAGAACACATTGCTCCGGCAATCGAAGGTAGATATCAAAACAATGAATAGCATCTGAGAATAAGTGGAAAGGAATGCCCAAGGGGATTGTTTAGAGAAACTTGGTTCGTATCTTTTGCGTCACAAGGACACAGGTTACGTAGACCACTGAAAAGAGTCGCAAGAAAAACCTGAACTATCAGTCTTCAAGGTTACGGCCGGAGAGGCAGACCAAAAGCACTTTACACCAGGAGTTGGCAACAACTATTTTTAGATGCCAATTATCCACTTGCTGTTTATCCTTTCTATCACTTTTTTTAAAATTTAAATTTACAATCAAAATCAATAGTTGAAGTCAAAACAATTCTAAAGGGAAAAACATGAAGGAATAATGTAACATTCATTTTGACCACCTGTTTTACATGTTGTTATTCATGTAGGCAAACAAAGAGATATTTTAAAATTGTGCCAAAATCTTTTGTCATAAACTATTCCCTATATAACTGGTCATGTTTTTGTGTGTTTGTAATGATGTAAAAAATGAAAACAGGACGTCATCAAATGCAGCAGCATGTTTAATTATTAAATAATGTGCGATTAAAGTGGAGAAATGCTCTATAAAAGTTTTTATCGATACATTCTGTTACTAACTTTTATTTACACTAATGATTTTCATGTAAAGAGTAATAATTGAGTAGTGATTTAATTTATTATTATTAAAGAAAATGGTTTTAATGTTACGAATTTATGTTTTCAACGTTTGAATAACATGACTGTAACTTCTGTTCAATGATAACATCTGTTGGTCTGTACTGAAATAACAAATCAGTAACTAATTATAAGTTTATATTGGTCTTCTATACACTGGAAGCCTTATTTCCGTCAAACTCTATGTTCAAACGATAATGTGCTTTGTTTGGAATTGACTAGTTCTTGCTCGAATTCAATGATAGGCATTCTAACAGTAACGTGTTTGTAACAGTAACTTGAAATTCAGTGATCGAGACATCATATATATATATACATCATTGTTTTACCAGAATACTAAACAAATATTCTTTTGCGCATTATTTTATATCATCATTTATTTACCTGATAAAGTCATAAATGATAATGAATTATTTTTGTAAAAATTATTTATTAAAATCGGATTTTAAAAAATAAACATTAATGTAATCGCAAAATCTATTATCAGTAGATTTTCTATTCCTTGAAACAGAAAAAAATTGGTTTAGATAATAAATATTAAAAAAAGAATAATCAATAGTTTGAAATCATTTCAAAGCCTTATTCTCTATACTAGTAAATAAGAGAATTTCGTTGACGAAAAAAATCTTTAAAATATCACTTCCTTTCATCAAAACAAAGTTTATTTAATGATAACCATATTTTACTCTGCGGTTCTCAATGAACATGCGAACGTTGGTATATATATATATATAGTTATATATATATATATAAATATATATATATATATATATATATATATATAGCTATGGTTAATCAGGCGCAAAGATAGTAGCTTTTAGCTTTTACTTAACTATCAGTGTATGACTAAACACTTTAAAAGTTTCCTTCAACAGGCAAAACTTTCAACTGTTGCCTAAAGGAGAACTCTTTTCTTTTGCTTGCTTAAAGTATTACCATGTTGCGGCTGTTTTTCGACGGATTTTTTTAAAAACTGAACCACCTGCTGAACTCAAGGACAAGATAAAAGAAGATACTTATCCTCGTGATATAAAGAAGACCTGTCAGAAAAAGTTCACCATCAACAGTGTTCATTTGATTTCTTCACAGAAACCCCACCTATTATGAAATCCATTTCTCTAAACAACACTTTACACCTCAGTCAACTCACAAAGATATATGTAAGATTGGTGTTTTTGATTGAATTAACTTACTAATTATGGCGACTATTTTAAAAATTTGAAATTCATCTAATTATACACTTTCAATTACATCATAAGATTATTCAATAAGTTACTAGTCAGTGAAATTAAAATTGACATGTATAAGTACTGAACTTATGTTAAAGTTAGATTAATAAATACTGATAATCGTTATTTGCTTAAAGAGATAGTAATAATAATACAGTTACGAAATGAAATATTGTTTTAGTATTACTTGAACTTACTTTTCCTTTCAATGAACATAATGCTTCTTTCCAGAATTTTTTCTTTTGATTTTTAACTGGAAGTTCTAATTTTCCAGTAGCCATCTGGAGAAATGTGACGTTAAAAAGACATTTGTTAGGGAGTTATAAAGAATAGGAATGTTACGTACAGAAAAAAATAGTTTTACGTGCTTTAGACTACTGAATTTATACGTGACTTATTTAAAAAAACCACTTTTCAAGTATACTAATCAAGAAAAAGTTAATGTAACTGTTTGATAGTTAACACTAATATACATGTTTAGTGACAACTTGTCTAATGTGTGATAGATAACAAAGATAATCTGACGTTTTTAAAAAAATTGTGTTGTAAGAAAACAGCGGGTGATTTAATTGGAATGTAAATTCTTTATAATCCTTGAGTTTTTAATTTCCACTGTCACGATTTACTACTCACTTATCAATGGACTATCCAATAAATAACTATCATTCAATAACTTGGAACTTATTTCTTGTTTATTTCAGTACTTTGAATGACGATAACAGGTGTTTTTGGTCGTTTCGTCCCAGTTTGAGATTCATAATCAGTGTGCATCCACAATTCTGGCTTATGGGAACTGAACCCAGGGTCATCAGTCTCACGCACGAACGCTACACCTTTAGGTCAGTGAGACAGCATCCAACAGCATTATCATTTAACACGCAAGACCAAAGGTCATGGGTTAGATTCCCGCAAGCGAGAGTTGTAGATGCGCATTGATGATGAATCCCATACTAGGATGAAACGATCATCCAATGCTTTCATGTTTCTAAAGGTGGTCTAACAATGATCGACGCATTAGTTTAATGAAACTTAACAGCCTCTATAACTCTGTAATGAATAAAATATGGTATTATTTGTTCATGTACATGTTCAGACTATCAACAGTTTTTGAGTGCTTGTCAATCTATAGGTAGACATACTTAATTGATGTATCAGTCAAATACATATTTTTCAACAAAATCTCTCTATAGATTAGTTCTAATCCTGCTTCAGTCAGATGTTCTTAAGTTTGGTTGTGTTCAAAGACGCGTTTATTGGTGGATACTTTGTCACTGCATTTGTGGTTGATTTGAAAACCATTTTAGAATTTTATATTCCTTCACACCAAGCTAGAAATCGACATTAGATTGCAGAACATAAGATCACGGAAAACTTTCTGAGTGAAATTATTCCTCCATATTTATAAGGTGAGTTTCTGTCCTTTCTCATCAAACTAGGAGAATTAACAATCTTAGCTAGTCGGAAGAAATTACATTTGGTTCATGCAGTCTAATAGATAGTACTGAACCACTGTTTTAAGGAATCTATGGAATAAAATCAGCGAAACCTACCGACTTTCAACTCCATGGTAGTTATGACTTTTGATCTATGTTTGATTACTTGTTGCTTTGTTTTAAGTTCCCTATTTCGGTTGTAAGTCAGAAGTGCACGCTAAAATTTACCACTACAAATTTCTGAAATTCATTTAAAGACCTTCCGAATAAATCAAACTAAAAAACCAGTCAATGAAAAGAAGCTAATAAAATGGTGATCAACGAAATCTTTCAATCACAAGTTATTGTTGAGAGAAAGTGTGCCCATATTAACCAGTCAGTAGAGATCCTCTTTGATTGAAAAGTTCTTTGACAGTCATAATATTTTGGTTTACAACACAAACTAACACTATAAATGCATCAAAAATGGTCAGATTAATGTTATTTCACTGAGAATACTTCTTCATTCAGTCAGTTTAAATCGATGAAAATATTGTAAATCATCTTTGGAAAATCTTTCTCAACTAAAAATCTCATTAGTTTTTCTCAACTGATAGTGCTGTTTACTCAATAAAGCAAACGATTAAGTGGTAATCAGTGTTAAGCCTTGCTTTGTAACATTGGAAGACAAAGAAAAAATGTAAATTTTTGAGATTCTGTTGTATTTTAGCGGCTCACAACTGGACTCCAGTGTTGACGAAGGATCGAGTGTGCAATGAAATAAATCTTTCTGTCCATTTCCGCATATCATACTTAGGCAAACCCCGTTAATGCGGCGGCGGTAGTACGAAGCCAAATACGGTTTTGCGGATGAATCTATTTTATGCCTTCATCTATGCAGACAGACATGAGAATGGTAAGTGTACAAGTAAAGCAAAGCAAAGCGAATTGGAGAAGGCGAGTCAGCCAACTCCCATGCGTCGAAGCAGCAACTAGCAATACTAAGCTAGACAAGTGATTAGTGAGTTAGCATCCACACATACATCAAATATACAATACTCAATACTGTAATCAAATTATTACAAATCTAAACATTGATCGATACATTTATCGAATAATTTAAACGACAAATCATTGAAGTACAATGAATGAACAGTGAGACGCTACAAGATCATTGATCTTTATATGTAAGTTTACTTAATTGATTTATTATTTTCATTAAAATATTCACGTGAATTACTGTAAACCTTGATGATGATCTAATTGAGAAACAAAAACAATATTGTCCACTTATATGTGTTGTTCTACCTTATTTATGATAAGTTCGTCACTTAGTATGCTTGAGGCTATTACGAGTTTACCTTAGTCGATAAACGCGAACGAGACTTTTACCAGCTTCCAGGGAGGCTACCTTGAATACCCAAAATCGAAATAGAAGACTTTGTAATCGTAGAAGTATGTTCTACAAACACCCAGCAATCACAGTACAATCAAGCATACAACTCTCGTTTATTTATACAACATAAGAACGTCCTTGAGACAGTTAAGAAAATAGCATACTAAAATACACTGCAGCCAATCACAGCCATTGATTTTGCTGGTGGGAATTGAAATCTCAAGGTCATCTGATCAGCCCATGCTGGCGAAACGTGAAAACCAAAATACGGCATTATCAAGCGAATTTTGGGGATCTAACATCCCCAACACTCCTCCCCTTTTTAATAGCGTGTTCTCCTGGGGTCGACTTGCATCTTGACTATTGTTCGCCGCTGTCTGAGGGGATACCTTCGGGAAGGAAGAACAGCTTGCTGCTGAGTTTCTTCTCGTTGCGGGGCTCTCGGTAGGTTGAAGGTATCAAGCAAGATGTCAAGGGGAAGGCTTTCTGCTCTTGATGGGCGATCTGGGGCTAGCCGTCTGCGTATCTGATTCCGATGACGTGACCATTTATCACCTCCTACCTCTACTTCGTACATAACTCGACCAACCCTTCTGACCACTCTCGCTTCTACCCAAGGACCATGGTTCTTCTGTAGTCGCGAGCAAACACGGGGCATCCTACTTCGTAAGCGGATTGTCTTTGCTGCTTTGTCTCTACTGATGAGGGTGCATTGGTCGGATGCATCAGGCTGTGGATCGTTTTCAATCTTCTTCCCATCAGGATTTCAGCTGGGGACTTTTGCTCCGGTAACAATTCATTTGGTGTTGTCCGATAGACGTACAAGAAATTTTGTAACGTTTCGGCTGGCGTCCCCTCCCCTTTTGACTTAAGCAGTGCTCTTTTAAACGTATACACAAACCTTTCCGCCTGCCCATTCGATTGCGGGTGGTATGGTGGCGAGTGTAAGTGTTTAATAGCTAGCCGTTGACAGAAATTCTAGAATTGGGAAGAGGTGAATTGAGAGCCATTGTCGGATACGATCACATCTGGTATGCCGTTTCGTGAGGAAATTTCGAAAAGGAGCTGTATAGTCTTAGTTGTAGTGGGGGGCATAACGGGGCTGATTTCCGGCCATTTAGAAAAGGCGTCGACGACAATTAAATACATAGTTCCATTTATTGGGCCAGCGAAGTCGACATGTATCCTGGACCAAGGATGCTCAGGTTTGGGCCATGAAACCGGCGGAATTTTGGCATTCATCTTTGCCGCCTGCTGACACCTCATGCATTTTTCAACCAACGCTGTGACATGTTGATCCATGTGAGGCCAGTATGCATAACTCCTGGCTATGGACTTCATTCGTTTAATCCCAGGATGACCAAGATGGAACTGTCTCAGCACTTTTGCACGAAGGGATTCTGGCACCACTACTCTTTCACCAAACATCAGACAATCGTTGACGATGCATAGTGACTCCCGCCGCTGATACAGTTGCTTCATGTCACCTTCAAACTTTTTCGACGGCCAACCGTTAGTGACATATTTCATCGTCATCTTGATGATGGGGTCGTTTCTAGAAGCATTTTGTATGTCTGTTGCAGATACCGGTAATGCGCGAACTGCGGTTGTCAGATAACATTCCGCGTGGTCTTCTACTGACAGAGATGCGATCACCATGTTTTCCTCGGCCGCCACTTGATCATTAATGAGTCGTGACAAAGCGTCTGCTTGACCGAATTGTAGAGTACGTCGATATTGGATTTCGAAATCATACCCCAAAAGTACCAAGGCCCATCGCTGAAGACGATTTGCGGAATGGGCTGGAATGCCAGACTTTGAACCAAATATTGCTAACAGAGGCTTGTGATCTGTGAGGAGCGTGAATCTCCGACCGTACAGAAACTTATGGAAACGGCGAACAGCAAACACAAGGGCAAGAGCTTCTTTCTCTATCTGGCTATACTTCTTTTCTGCTGGGGTCAGTGTACGGGATGCATGCATAACGGCTTTTTCCGACGCGTCTGGAAATTGATGTGAAATAACAGCACCTAGGCCATATGCCGAAGCGTCTGCTGCTACGATGATCGGCATGGATGGATCGTAGTGTGTTAATAACAATTCCGAGCTAATTATAGACTTGAGTTTACCAAAAGCCGCGTCACACTCTTTAGTCCAGTTCCATGTGCTATGCTTCTGCAGTAGACAATTCAATGGAGCGCGAATATCATGCATCGAGGGAACAAAAGCTGAATAATAACTGATCAAACCGAGAAAAGATCGTAATTCGGAAACATTAGTGGGAGTGGGCATCAGTTTGATAGCTCGGATGTTTTCAGGATCCGGTCTGCGACCGTCGGCATCAAAGATGAATCCCAAATACTTTACCGACTGCAATAGAAACTGGCATTTTTCTGGGCGTAACCGGAAACCGTTGTCACTGATGCGTTGTAGTACCAATGTCGTGCGTTCCCGTAGCTGTTCTAACGTCTTC